GTTTGAAAAATTCCATTTTTCTCCATAATAAAGCGTTATTTGATCAAACCAACTATACAGCGATTCTTAGGATACATTACCCTAACTAACTTCAAAGTATGAGCGAAATCGATTTTTCGAAGTTTGCCACGTTTTGCTCGATGGTTACAGACAGTCACTCTTAATACCTTTTCTACTGGCGTTTTAAACGTTGAGTCAGCAGCATCGAAGTGGAACGTTTCTGGAGTACTTTGAGCTTCTGGATTATTGAAGATGCTGTTTCAGTTTTCATTCTATAAATGAAGAGATAAACGAAAGCAAGCGACACTTAAAAGTGCGCAATAATAAATGTAACGTCAAAAAATCATAAGAACGGGCATTGTGCTTATATAAGTAATTGCAATCAAGAAGCGTAGTCAGTCCTAGACTCTGAGAAGATCAGTCCGCGATTTTTGGGATTGGAATTCACGTCAAATCCACTCCACTGATTGAGAGAAACATTTACTCGAACATGACTTTTCTTTTCCCGACATCAAATAAAATATAATCTATATCGCATTATCGACATTTATAGTGCAAAGATAAATAAACCAAAAGCTAATTTAAGGAGGGAAGGTATATCTCTCTCCCTTACCCCCATGCCACGCCCTTGTGCCACTAATAAAATTACGAGTTACTTTCTATTAGAAACATTTAATCTTAACTCAACAAAGTCATTTTTGCCATTGACAAAAGGATTTCATAGTACAGATGTTACATATTATAAATCACTTGGTTTTAGGCGTTGAAAATGGTTATTTTGCATTATGCATCTCATTAGATATTTGTATAAATGTATAAATGTATACTACAACGTTTATGCAATCGAGTGTATATATATATATATATACACACACAGAACACTTGATTAAAAAATAAAAAATAAAAAAACACAGAAAAACACACATTTAATCACTTGAGAGCTCGTTATTCTTTGAGGGTAGCTAATATGTCTAAAAATGATGAAAGCGGCAAAACACATTTCCCGCAAATTCCAGACACGGTAATTATACCAGATCCAACTTTATTATCTTATTTAGAGTTGTTTTCGCTAAAGACGTCATTAAAACCAATGAATGTTATGTAATTTCGGGTTTGTTTGTTGTTTTTTTTCTTTCGTTTTATTAAGGCAGCGCCCATGATAAGTTCAAGGCAAATGGTAGACAATACCCAATATGTTGGGGCTGTTCGAATACAGTCGCCAACAACAACTTCTAATAATGCTAGGTGTTATTTCGCGCGTAAGCACGGGCATTAGATGTCTCACAGGCTAATAAAACTATACCACACAGGTTATAAAACTGTATGCCACACAGGCTAATAAAACTATACCACACAGGTTATGGAACTGTATGCCACACAGGCTAATAAAACTTTATTATTTAGATATCGATTAAATACCAGGTTTTCTCTAGTGTCGAAAACTTGATATATTTCACTAGTGGAAGAGAGATATCAATTGAACATTCGAAGATAAAATTCGTATCTCCGCGCGCCCGTGTAATATCCTCTATATAACACACAGCTTATGAAGCTGTATGCCACACMGGCTAATAAAACTATACCACACAGGTTATGAAACTGTATGCCACACAGGCTAATAAAACGATACCACACAGGTTATAAAACTGTATGCCACACTGGCTAATAAAACTATGCCACACGGGTTATAAAACTGAATGCCACACTGGCTAATAAAACTATGAAAAAAAAATTGTGACTGAAAACCATACTCAGTATTTTAGTTTGTTAGCCAATTTTAGGTATGAAAAAAAATACTATGTTTGCCATAAATGAAAAAAAAAAAAAAAAAAAAAAAAAAAAAAAAACATCTGAGCGAAATGCATCAACAATGCGAGTAATATGACTCTTTTAGTTAAAATTAGTTTATTACCCATTTCCCTCACTTCCTGCGAAAAACTGCAAGATACATACACATGCAACACCGTTTCAGCTATTTTTTTACCATACTCTACTGGCATTTTATTCAAGATATTCAGAAGCATATATAAAAATACTTCATAAGCCATAGTAATTCTTAATTTGCCTGGTATAATATGGTTGCTACAGACTTATGTTTATTTTAGGTTTCCTTTATTATCATAAACATCGCTCATGAGAGTGCTCTTCCTATGAGACGTTTCTACGTTTCTTTTATTTGAAATGAATGGTAGCAGTAGCGACTTTATTTATCCTTATTCGATCGTTTCAAACACCCGTAAACTGCACAAAAAATGACTATTTTCGGTTGTTAAGGCGGTTGTCATGGAGGGCGAAACCGGTTTATACTCTTTAATGAGAGATCCCATTTCATTTTCCTTGATTAGTTCAGAACTCGTTATCTTTGAAAGGGATTAAAGAGATCTAATACTTATAGAAAAAATAAGGCTTATTTATTAATTTATTTTTTTGATCAAACAACAACGTTCTATGTGGAACACGCGGTTAATATTATGAAACCTATTAACGTCTAGTAAATAAATTCCATTTTGATGTTACGTAATCTGGCCGCTACGATATTTAAATTGGCAATTTAGAAAACTTAAGTGAGACTCCCTTCATTAACACAATACTTTTTCGAAAAAAAATTCTATAAATCTAATTTATATCCTAATTTAAACATAAATATGAACTGGTGCACGATCAACCGATCGTGTGGTCCTTAATAATATTATCTGATTTGATTTCCAAAAAAATCAATTGGATCATCCAACAACGGAAAATAAGCAAATACTTTACAATTCTACATTTTACAAAACCTGGACCTTGAGCCCCGTTGCTGGTTGTATCGTCGTGTACGAGAATTGTCAGGGGAATTCTATTCAAATTCATATTTCAAGTAATCGGCTAGTAATCGTACCCTACGATAGCATAAATTAAACTATAATAAATATTTATGTACACATGCTGATGATACATCGTTTAAATATGACTAAAAAATGAGACCACCCAACCGAATTCGCTTCGAGGTCTAGGGGTTAGGTTTAGGATTAGGTTTGAGGTTAGGGTTGGCATTGTAGTAGTTCTTTGGTGGCGAAGGTACCGATTTCGATTCTTGGTGTCTTCRCTTAATTTTTTTTCTAAGTGAGGAGAACCAAAATGTCTAAGTCCCACTCGTGTGTTCGGAAACCTATGACGTACTTCGTTAGTCCGTACACCACGATAGTACCCCGTTGCTCTTTGTCAACACGACAATGCGCTCATCAAAGGGAACATAAGCAAAGCAGTTTCAAATATATCCGGCCTGAAGTCTGAAGTCTGAAAATATAAATCAGTGAATGAGAGTGAAGTCATTGGAGCTAGCCCATAGCTAAAGATTGATTTATAAGGACCATAATCYATATATAGTCAACCTTGACTATAAGTTAGAGAGTTGAATTCTGTTGATAATTTGAACCTATTGCGTTGCCCCCGAGATTGAGCTGCATTCCAAATTGATGCAAGGGGTCTATTGTATTATTCTAGAATCATCATTGCCTCCATTCGTGCAATTATAAACTTATGTTGGCTAAGTTGCTCAGTTGTTTCAAAAACTCTTGCGAAAACAGCTCTCCTAAATACTAATTGTCTCTGACGAATGCTGATTGATTTTCTTTTCATATTAGAAATCATTAAAGTCCACTTTGAAAAAGACACATTAATAAAAGAAGTTATGTTTTTTTCAAAAGTAGGCAGCCGCTTTAAAAATAATTCAGAAAAAAGGTAAAAAGAAAAAAAGAAAAGAAAAGAAAAAAAAAGAATAAATAAATAAATCTATTAATGTAGTGTATAACGAAAGGGTTCCGTCTTTTGGATGGACTACGACAACCAAGAATGACGGTACTAGTCCTCTTGCTGACAGGCCTAATATTCGGCCTGGATGTACAACAGACTTTATGTAAGAAAAAAATTAAGACTTATTGCAAGTAATACTGTATTTTGTAACTGAGAAATATATAAAGCGCGCGCGTGTCTCTGTGCTGTGATCTAAACACACTGGGAGCTGTAGCTAGAACGGGAGAAGAAAGCTTGTGTGCATGAGGCGTAGCCGAGTGTTATTTTTTTTCTTTTCTATTGCTATTTACCCTGGGTCCCTTGTTGTTCACGTTGTTCACGCTTGTTGTTGGCGACTCGACAAAAGCCGTTCTGCCATCTAGGGTAAGTGCTCTACATCTCCCAGAATATTTATATCACAATACCGAGATAAAAGGAGCCATTTAACAAAGCTTTTATAAAATAGCTTTTGGACAACTTTGAGCCGAGCTTGTAGCACACCAATCAGTGCGCGTTATATTTCAAATATTTGAACATTATATTTACAAATGGTTACGTTTTCAAGTTGCTTAACTGTAAAATCAGTTGCGGTCCCATCTCCCCACACTTCATCATCATTAGTTAAATAATCGGAGTGACGCAAACCAAACACTGATGTCATGTTCGCGTGTACTTGTTCAAACTCATATACATTAATCAAATGATAATATTTTTTTTCTTAGGTTGCCCAGAAAGCTGCATATGCAAGATTGATGACCTAAAAATTACTGTCCAAAAAGTTTTGAAAGCAGAATGTAAAGGGTTGTCATATGTGCCTAAAATACCACCAAATGCAACTTTGCTGTAAGTCAATACAGTTAATTTTACCTTACATTATCATACTGTCCACTTCAGTTTTACGTTTTTGAAAATGACTATGGACTATGGGAAGTACGGCAAATTTTAAACTGGTTTGAAATCCCGGAGAGGGGATGGGGGCGTGTGTGTGTGTGTGGGGGGGGGTTGTCCAATTAGGGAAGGACGGGATGCTTCTCGTACCTTTTAGGAGACCCGACCTTCACTTCGGTAACTCAAAGGGGTYCACAAATTGAAAAAGCCTTCCAGAGAGTATGCCAGCAGACATCTTAAGGTGTTTCTGAGGCAATTAGATACCTGTTATTATATAATGACATGCAGTCAGAATGGCAACTGTAATGCGTTATTTTTGGTTCATTATCTAACTTCTTTCATATAGATGAAAGATAAATGCTACTATTTAAGGATAAAAAATTATTAGTTTACAGGCCCAACTGGACAGGACTTGCTTATCTCTTAGGGACCAATTTTTTTCTTTAATATTTCGAACGAGCTTCATCATTACATATTGGGTTTTAAATCTCGCCATACGATCTCAAAAGTATAGTAAACTGAAACTTGTAAAAGCTTGTTATTCAGTAGATATTCATCCAAACATACTCAAATTTGACAATTATAATACAAATATTAATATGATCTTTTTTGCGATGGGGATCATTTATCAATTATATTAATTCTTTCACTCGGTCCCAGTCCCTTCTTTAATTCCAGAAAGGCTAATTGTAATCTATTTCATAATGCTCGCATTCATGCCCAGTTGAATTAAGTATGGGAAAAAATCTC